ACTACCTTAGGAAGGCAATTTAACTATTCTCTCTCCCCTAGCAATATCTTTTTATCTCTTATTTATCTCTCTTTACTAGAACCTTCGATAAGCTGGCAGAGACCTCTACCTCTGAGCTACTAGTAGAACAAGCAGCAACTTCCGCTACCTAAGTAGCAATATTCTAACAATAATTACCTATATTTATATTCTTCTCTTAGTACTATACTTATATCTCTAACCTTCTTAGAGGGCCTAGATATAATAGATTAGCTATATAAAAATCCTAGAGTCTATACGGGCTGTTCTTAAAGTGAGATACATTATACTACTCTAGATCCTTATTATATCCTAGCTATTTAACATAGAACTGTAGCTTCCTGCAATAGATATAGGTATTAAGAATCTTCTCTACCTTATATTTGTCGTCGTTTATAGTGTCCTAAACGCGCTTCCGCTTATACTTACGCGAGCGATATTCACTACTATTATCACTACTATTATCACTATAGTAGATTTTAGCATTATATTCGCTATATAGTAGCCCTAAAAGAGGTTTTAGGGCTAAAGGACAGTTAGAGGACTACCTACTATTAGAGGGGGGTAGCCTTCTCTACTTTAATAGGCGTAAATTGTGCTTAAGGCGCTACTTTAATATCGTGTTTAATAATTAAAGGTGCCGCTTAGCTAGTGGGAAGCGTTTCCGCTTATAGTTTAGCTACGCAGTCTCATTATCGCAATTATTATAATTACTATTAGTATCGCTACTACTACTATTACTCGTGTTTTTAATCCTAGGAGAGCTGCCTTATATTAGTTGTTCAACATTTATCTTCGATAAGCTTATTAGCAGAGTTAATAGAAATTTGCGATATAGGAACCTACTTATTTAAGTATTCACTTTTTTAACTGTATCGGCGTTAATAATATTCTCTATGTCTATAGAACACTCTCTACCGCGAAGATCTAGGGCTGTGATGCTCGAAACTTCAAGCCGATCGCCTATCTATATAGCTATATTATTTTCGTGCGAGTTGCCCTCGTCTATATCTAAGATGGGCTAACTGTCTTTAATAACAACTGTATATTCTACGCAATATAAGAAATAGTGTGCAAGAGCTACTATCACGATCGCGCCCAGGTGCTTACCTTGACTAATGTTTTTAGAAGGAGTTAGTTAATTTAAGCTCTCGTTCTCTATATCTTCTCGAAAGTTTCGCTTGAACTCTTCGTCTTTACGTTCGTTCTAGGGCGCAAAATCGTCATAACTGCTAGCATCACCAGCTCCTCCACCTCTGCTACCGCTGATCTCGCTGTTGCCTTCTCTAACTATGTTTGTGTTAGTCATCATAGAACAATGGAATAAGCACAGTATGGTTACGCCGGCTGTAGGGATGCCTACCTAAATATGTCAAATCAGTGACTTCGACTTCGTCCGACGTTGGTACAAGATCCTCTTTGTTCTCCAGTTGAGTGTTCGATTTTAGACTGTGTTTGTTTGACAGGGCCTTTGAGGGGTTCCGAAGAGAGGTTTGCTTAGGCTTTGGAGACCCACTGTACTGTATTATTTGAAGAGAACCTTGTGCGTGAGGTACGGAAAAAGTGTCAGAGAACAATGCCATCGCTGTGGTTGTGGTTCGAGGACGTGCTGGTGCTGCGAAAAGAGAGGAGACGCAGAGGTTTAAATAGGCAAAGATACCACGCTTGAGGTTTCTCTTGTTATGTGAATCCTTTCGGAGAGCCCTCTGGAATAGCATTTAGCGCCCATCAGGCAGCAGCCCGTACGAGACAGTGCTCGAAACTGCACACCCTTGCCAGCGGCATATCAGACTAGGGTTGAATCAGCTTCGCGTCGTGTACCCAAATGTATCATGCGACTGCGAAGTGTCGGCAGCGATGAAGCCTTCGCATGAAGCCCCTTTCTTCTTGGATGGAAACGTGAGCAAATCTCCCACCAACAATCGTACTGAAAATAAAAAAGTACAATGCATTCCCAGGCTTCAGGCTGTGTTACAGGTCCTGCCCCTTTCCCATCAGAGCCCGTCTACTCAGCAGGGAGATTCCAACCCGCTTTTTTCAGCTCGTCGGCCACTCCGAAACCCAGATACGGGCTCAAACCCGTGTTCAGACTCTAGACGTCAGGCTTTGGGCGGCGTGAGCCACACAGTACAGAGAGAGATTGGCGCCCAAGCTGTGCTGAATGCCCGCTCTAGCCCTCACTACCGCTGATATGTAGCGCCGGAATAGGACATCGCCATCATGCAGGCAGTCACATGGACCCAGGCTCTACCAATCTGTATTGCGGCGCAATCTCGGGAAGTAGATGCCTGACCGTTATCTGGATAGCTGAGTAGTGGGTCAGACTCTAGCTGCGGCATTTCTGGCGTAACTTTTAAGTGAAACTGGGCTCGCGGTGACACTTGGACGGTTCAAATCCAATCATCTCTGTAAGGCTACATGCTAATGTAACCTCGCTAGGTGTACAGCTGGAGTTTTACCGGCTTAGCACCTTGTGTTGAGACGTACTCGGGGATTCCGAAGCCCCTTTTTTGCTGATCCGTGTAATCGATGACGTGAAAGATCGAGGATGAGAAGACTGGGAAGGACGTTCGCTTTCGAGAGGGTGAAAGTTAAGGAATGACTGTAAACTGTTCATGAAAGCCCTGATGCAAAGACTTCCCACCATGAGACGGGCGAGAGAGTTGGAGTGGTCAAATTTCAAGAAACAGAGCTGCTCGTAGGGTAGTAGAGAAAACATGTTGAGAGGGTCTGGCAAGGGACACAGCGCAGAGGCATAATCGTGGATCCCAAAGGAGGGGGTAGGGTGGATGAGACAGCCAGGCAGTGCAGCAATTGCATGATTTCCAAGGGGACGAAAATGCCTCACACATTCAGTCCGAGCGACCAATAGGAGGGACTGAAGTGGAGGGAGGAAAGGGACGATAGTGGGAGGTGAGTAGGACGGCGAGGCGAGCGTGGTTATATCTGA